GGGGGGGGGAGTGGCACACAGGAGACCCAAGAAGGGGCCTTTCCTTCTCAGTGTTTGCCATCCGCTGGGGCAGCATCACTGCCCACTGGGGGTCCAGACCCGTTTGGATGTCCAGACGTTTATGCCAGCTCCATGTGGGTGTCATCTGGCCCATTTTGAGGAAGGATGTGGTCGCCCCGATCCCAGGCGCTCGAAGAAAGCCCCATGCATCACTCACGTGTGGAAACGAGAGTAGTAGTCACGCATAGGCAGCACTCTACAGTGTGCAAAGCCTCTGTCCAGACGTTATTCATCTCGTGGAAACTCGCAGTCCCAAGAGGTGGGCAGACAGTTGGGGGGCTTCCCACTTTGGGGGCTGGGCCAGGTGGAGCTGCCCGGTGAGCTCATGCCCGTGAGCAGCCCGAGAATGGCCTGGATTCTGAGCCTTTACCCAGTCAGCAGCACTGCCGGGAAGGGAGGTGGACTTTCCTCCTTTCTGCCCTTTGCACAGCACGGAGGAAAGTTCAGGGCAGAAGGGTGGGCCAGGCTACTTTGGCCCTCGCTTGCTTTCTTCCAAACCAGCGGCAGCTGGGGGGTGTGGGACTTGCCCAGCGCGGCCTGGATGTCTGGACAGAGTATTGGGCTGGGAGTCACGCGTACAGCCGAGCCCCTGTCCTCCTGTCCAGGCTTCACGGTGGCACGAGGACGTGGCTTCTTCTGTGTCCAGCGCTGGGGGAGCACGCCGAGGCCGTCTCCGCCTCTGTGTCATCCCCCGTGCCCCATCCCGGTGTGTCACCTGGGGTTCTGTCCCAGCGCACTGACCCCTACCATCCCATCAGCAAGTCTCAGTGCTCCCGCTTCTCAGGCAGGAGAGCCGAGTCCCCGAGAGCCGTATCGCGTTCCCCACGTTGTGCCTGGTTGGCTCCTGGCTCTAGGCCCTCCCTGCTCGCCATCTCTGGACCAAGAGGTCTGGCTGGCACGGGGGGTTGGGGGGGGGCACTCTCCCCTGCCGGGGCGCTCAGAGGCTCGTGAAGAGGGTTCCCCAAGCCGACGTATGAGGAGCAGCTGGTGTGGATTCTCCTCCGTCTCCCAAGGTGTCTGCAGCATCCGTCTGTCCACCCCGCGGCGGCCTCCTGGCTCTGCTCCCTGGCTGCCCTGCCCCCGCTCCACGCCAGCTCACCATCTGCCACACTGGCTCCTCAAGCCTGTCCCCACAGTGACCAGACTGTTCGGAACTCCACAGGCCACACACTCCTGTCTGAAACCCACTGCTGGCTCCCACCAAGCCCTCCCGCAGCATAGCAGCCAGGCTGCACAGCCCGTCACCCTGGCACGGTCACCCTGGCCGTCCCCAGCTCCCAACACCCCCCGGCCCCACGCTGTCACCGGGAATGCCACCCCTTCGTGAGGCCGAGCCTGTGCACCCCTCAGAGCCCCACCTCTGACACCCCTCCGTGCAGCCCCTGCTTTGGGGCTTCGTCCTGCTGTCTGGACAGTCGGCCCTGAGATCACGGACGCTTGCCACATAGGAAGCCAGCTGTGCATTGTCGGCCAGAGGTCAGAAAGTAAAGAGCAGGCCACCTGCCTTCTGGGCGGAGACGCCCATAACGTCCGCGTCAACGCCAATTCTGGAGGAGTGAAGACGGGAGAGAAGTGGGTGGGAGAGCGGCTGGGGTTGGGGGAGCACCCATGGAGGCGCCCGGGCCCCAGCCCTTTCCCTCGGGAGCCAGCACGACGCCACCCCCACCCCGTGGGAGGCAGGAAAGTGTCGTGCAAGGCCCCATTGCTTCTTGGCTCCAACCCCGTCTTCTGTCCTTCACTTCCAGGCGGCGGGAAGTGGCTCCCTCCCACTGGGATAGACGGTGTCCAGGCTCCCGGTAGGTCGGCCCTGGGGTGGTGGAGGCCGGGACTCCAGTCACTGCAGACAGAGGAAACTGGCCCAGGACCGGAGGCATGCTTTTGAGAACAAGCCCCGGCCTGTAAATAGTGGCCCAGGTCCGTCCACAGTGCCGCTGCCCGCTCCCCCGGCCCGCGACCCCCGCCATCCTGTGAGTGAGCACAGCCCACATCTGCGGCTTCAGGAGGGCCCGGCTATGGGATGCTGTTGACGAGGCATTTATAAATATTTCATCTTCACGTTAAAAATACGGGACCGGGAACCATCAGCAGCTGACAACAGAAGGGCTTTCTCTGCTGGTCGTGGGGGCAGAACCCAACAGCAGGTGTGGCTCAGGCCAAAGGACCAAAGGGTTGTGAGTCAGAAACGTGTAAACGGCTGCTGTTGTCAAGGCGGTTGTAGCCCAGACCTGTGGGGGTCGAGGATCTCAGACAGGCCTGTCGTTGCCTCCGAGTGTGTGCCAAGCGTAGACTGCTCATACAAAACAAAATGGATGGTTTATTTACGTCTGGTGCCATTAAGAATGGAGGAGAAAAGTTCAGCCCAGGATAAGAAGCTTAAATCTTGATTTTTCCCTTCCCCCTCGCAAAAAGAATGGATTCCTTGCATTGTAAATTATCCAGCCCTTGTCCTTGGCTTGGCAGCTACTTCGGGCTGGTATGGACATTGCATAATCTTAAATATTGATTCTTGTTAGACTAAAAAAAAAAAGAAAAAGTCCAAGTGCACGGGGCTCCACCGGTCTGCCTGTCCAGGAAATCACCTTCCCCATAGCTCACTTCTGATGGCCTCTAGCCTTCCTGACAGCAAGATCCATTCTGATTAGAAAAGTTCCAGGAGAAAAAGCAACGGTCAGGATCGCTTCCTCCAT